AAAAAATAGTGTAACAAAAAACATAAAAAGCAGACTTTGTAAAGTCACCTTTCTCAATTGTTAAAATATTATGCGAAAATCCTTTCTTTCTTAATAACTGAAAATACAAGAACACACCCATTACCAGACGTTGTTTATTTTTTCATATAGTTAAGTCTAAGTACATGCAAAAATTATCTATTAAGAGCTTCAAAATAGGTATTTGTAGGAACGTTTTCGACACGCTTGGGACTGATTCAAATTATCCAAGCATAAGTTTTGGTTAGTTTTGATAGCGGTTTAATCAGTATGGGAGAGCTATAAATTTATTTTCCCTGCATAAAATTTCTACAAAACTGTATGAATAAACTGGTTTTATTCAAATTTATTTTTTGTACAATTTCTAAATAATTTTAGAAATTAAATAAATATATTTTCGAAAAGCTTAAAACAAAGCGAAACAAAGGTTTTTTCTATTCATTAAGAGATAATGTGAAAATCCTGTTAACTCTTTAAATAACTGAAAACACAAGAATTTCAGGCAAATACCCTTAATTAGATGTGGCGATACTTAACGCCTTATCGTTGTTCGACTTTTCATCTATATCTGAGTTCGGCGCTGAACCTGCTAGTTGAAGGGCGCACCCGGAGCCAATTCTGAAGGTCGTTACTTTTGAAGTTTAATTAAAAGCTGCATGGCGGAATAATCCCGCTCTCTGCTCTCCTTAATATCATGTAAAAACTCGTTTAAATGCAGACGGTGCAGCGATGTTTCCATATTGTTGGTTTCTTTTTTATCGCTACAAAACGTAATATTCAGTGGCGGCAGCATGGGATCGCCGTCAATGGAGTCGAGATAGGCGATTGTTGAGTTTTCGAAACAAAATTCGTATGGAGGTGAGCTTCTGCTTCCTTTTGTTTAGTTCTCTAACAATCCCTTAGAACCAAATATCAAAATGGTTCAAATTCGTACGTTTGAACTTGAACTCTGCAAGCTCTGGAGAATTCTATAAATCTTCTCAATTAACGTGATCACATTTCAATATCAAAGATTTAAATATCAAAATCTCGAAACTAACCAAAACAAAATAGGCAGTGCGACTCTGAATAAGCAAAGACGTTCTTCTTTGCCGACTTTTCTGTAATTACGGTTCATAAAAAGGCACTAATTTGCCGCTGTAAGAATGGAACAGATCCTGGGATTGTGTTATAAGCTTTCGTCTATTGGATTTTAATTTGTGCCCTAACTGGATTAGGAAGGATTTCGCGCAGACCGGGTAGTAAGCTCGACTCTAGAGTTCGTTTCGGATACTTAAACCCTCGGCGATTAATTATAAAACACCACGCTTTGCCTCTGCACATTCTGCCCGACGCAAGAGATTTCTCATGCGAAATGTTGGTCTTAGACGGACCGAGTGAGGATGATGAGTGATTTTAAGGATGTCCTAAATCTCTTAAAATTTAACACAGGGTGTTACAGTTTTAATTTTTTGATGTAGAAGTTTTTTAGGAGCTTGTAGAGAACAGATTTTTGACATAGAATTTAATGCACATGTAATTATGAAGCCAAAACAATTTGTGTTTTAAAAATATAAAAAAAATACGACACAATATACCCCTTCTTGGGCCATTCTCAGAACATAAAAAATATTTGATTTCGTCAGGCCAACAAATTATAAATGATCCTAATTTCTGACATGTTACTTTGGGTTTTGTTTGTGCCTATTAAAAACAAAAAAAACAATTATCGAATTCATCAATCGCAAATCCACTTTAATAAGAAATAATATACAAGAACCTTCTACAATATTTTATTTTTTTCAAAACTGATACAATTTTTAGCTTAGACAAAGCAAAGCAAAAAGAAAATTGAATTTTTCTTGTATTTTTTAATTATCTCCGATTAAAATTACTACACTAAAGTTCGGAATAGTGAACTCGAAAGTTGCATCAAAATTGGTTGGCGGTATCCAAGTTTTACTATAAGCAATAAATGGACTTTTGTACATTTCTCATGTTTACCTGATGAATGGATGAATATTATGTATGTTTGTTTTATATTACGTAATGTTAGAAATGTGAAAATTAAATATCATTCTGTACAAAACAAGTAACAAGTGAACAAGAACAAGTAAACGTCTAAAAAAAAAAACTAAAAAAATACATGTATCAACTCTTGGATAAACAAGTCGGATATTTGGTTTGTAATAGTCTGTTAGTTTTGGTTGGTTACTATTACTGATGTAGCTTTCAAGGTTTCAAAAAGAATTCGAAACTTTCTCAGGAACGTCGCGTGGAACATTGATTATGGCCACTTCCTCAATGGCCTCCTCGTTCAGTTCATCTTCACTCAATTCTGCATTTGTTTCTGAAGAAATAATCTAAATCAGTCATTATTTTAATGTTACTTTTCATAAATACCTGTAGACGCTAACTGGATAATTTCGTCTTCTGTCAAAGATTCGGATGGAATAACTTGATCGTCTATTGAAACGTAACTTTGGAAATGTTCAATCCCATTCCTAATCTCTGCTTCAAGAGCTTTCTGGGTGTCCATATTCTCGGGGTCTAACTACCTAACTAACGTTCCGTTAGAGGGAATTCATCATCGTAGTCAAAATCATCCGATAATTCGCCGGAGAAACGTTAAAGTACATAGCACATTTGTTTTGTGATTTTGTGATTTAAATTTCGTAGAGAGTATTAATGACAGACCTTCAAATGGAAAAGCAAAAACAAAACGTATTAACTTTAAAAGAAAAATACGATGTTACACAAACAATTAAAAGTGGTATGAAACAAAGTGATATTTGTCGTGAAATGAATTTGCCTCCATTACCTGAAAAAAAAAGATAGGATTCTCTCGTCCTACGGTCAAGTCAATGCAAGTTTTAAAAGGGAAAATCGGCTCATGAAGGCGTCCATAAGGGACTTTTACAGTGGTTTATCCAAAAAAACGGAAAATGTATCTTAATCTTGACGAAATTTAGTTCACTATATCCGAAAATTCATTATATCCGGGCTCACTGTAAACAGTAAAAAATTACGTTTGTCTTATGAAACTTTTTAAGTGTATTTCAAAAAGTGATCATTGTAACCGAGTGTTCACAATAAACGGATTTACTATATCCGAACTCCACTGTATTTAAATTAATTAATTAAAAATTAGATTAAATAATATCTCTTCCTTTCGCTTGGACAAATTAACTAACCAAATTTTTTTGCTGTGCCTTTGGTCGGTCATACAAATTATATATCGCTTGTGAAACGGTTATAAGCTTAATTCTAAGCACAAAGATCTCGTTAAACTAAGAATGTTGCGTTATTTCTTAGAAAAAAGGCCCTTTGTTCGATTCGTCAAAGGTCACCAAAAGGATCCCTTTGTTGGAATAATAAATCCACCCTCGGGGCGGTAAAATTCACATTTGCCAACTTAAAAGGGCGCGATTCGCTTTTTTTAGGGGCGCTATATTCCTTATTTTAATAGTCCCTTATTGTCGGGATAAAAAGAAACTGCGCAAAACGGCATTTTAATGACGTTTGCACAAAAGAAACCAACAAACGGCGAATATAAAAATTTTATCTCGCCCAACGCGTATAAAGCTTCGGATAAGCGCAATAAAAGCAAACATCTTAATACGAAATGGTATGGCGCCGTCCTGTGTCTTGTTTTAGCATAATTTATCTTCGGATCTAAGCGTGTTTCCTACCGGCGCTTAAATGTACACTCGTTCCCCCACCCAGCCTCGTCCTTCGTCCCCCACCACGAGCTAATAAATCGGCGCCCTTAGAAAAGTTCCAGATAAAAAATAACGGCCGAGGTTTGTTAACGGAACCGCAACCCCCCACGCAGTTAGCGTTCCTTTAATTAAGGGGGGGTTGGGGTGCGACCGGAAAACGTGTCAAGTGCCTACCTACAGCGGCAATCCAGATCTAATTAATGGTGGTCCTTTTCAGGTGGGGATTATTTCTTTAAGTCACAACTCAATCTCGCCTCCTCTTGGCACGTAAAGCTGGCGGGGACGCGGAAAATTAGTTCTTCGAACAGGTATTCCAACCCCCAAATAACAACTGTTCTGGTGTAAGTGAAAGCAAAAAAAAAAAATCCAATTGTTAATATAATACAGTTATTAAATATTTTAAACAGAGTATTTGCATGAAAATGTTATACAACCCTCAATACAGTGCCCGCGTAAATGAATGTGAAATGTGAAATGATAAGAGGGGTCATGAGATAACTCTTTTTAAACGTGGTTCCACGTTCTATTCGCATGCTTGCAAATGTTGTATTACTTTTCTATTACTTAACCGTAGCTTAAATTAAAAAAAAATAGTTTCATCATTTTATCAACTATTTTATTAAATGCTTTGATTTTGATAATAGGTCTGTGAATAAACTCGCTCCTAACGTTATGAATTTCTGAGGAATTACACTGCGAACATTTCGAACGCTGTCTTTGAGATCTTCAACTGAATTTTACTTTTTAGCCATCCCCAATGAAAAAAATTCAGGGGTTTTAGGTTTGGCGACAGAGGTGACCATTCAATAGAACAAATATTTAAAAAAAAAAACAGTTTAATTGGACTTGACGCACTGACAAAATGATTTAATATTTTGACATTGACAAGTGAGGGCAATCTAACATGACCTGGCACTTTGATGCTGTATTCACACTCAACCTTTAAAATGATAATAATAATTATAATTAAATTAAATTGAAATTAAACCCGCATTTATTAAATTTCTTGTCTTGCAAAAACTAACTAATCGATTTTTTTAAAAATTGGCATGCATAAAAAATACTTAAAATGGCGCTCTGCTGTCATTTAGACATTTTTATATTTTGTTTTTATGTCAAAAATTTGCCATTTTATTTATTTCATCATGCTTAATACATCAGTACAATAAATAAAAAGGGGGACCCACTATTTACGGCGGCACTGTATAATTAAAGATCAAATTAGTTGATTCATTGAAAATAATATGCTCTATGTAATAATATATTAGTTTTCATAATAGCCTACCCACAAACCTTTGAATAAGATAAATAAATTTTCTTAAACGAATCAAAACCAACTTGAACCTTCAAAGTATTGACAAAGATCATGTAGAAGTGAAATAGATAATAACAGGTAAGTAGGTAATATTTAGGTTATCAAAATATGTCAAGATTGCGATTTTTTCCGTTACTCGATATCTAATATTACAACAAATACCGTTATCATTTAATTGAACTTTCAAACTAATATATTTTTCATATTAACAACATTAATTTTGAAAACTTGAATTTTTTTATAATACCCAATCTAACATCGAAATATCTCTCAAATTTCGCACATATAAATGTAATTTTCCAGGAACCTTATGAATGTTGTTCCTTAAGTTTATGAGAGTTTTTAAAACAAATCTAAACGTTATAAGTTAGTTATAACCACATTAATTTTGATAAATTATTTTTTGTGTAATATTCAAGCATCACACACTGTATTGTGAAACACAAAACACAACTTAAATTTATTTTTAAGGTACTATATAGCATCAAAAATGGAATTCTGGCAAAAATTCATATTGCTGTCTTCTTTATAAAATGTCATAACATTAATTTTAAAGCAATATTCAAATTTAATTTTAGGTAGATTGGAGACGAGCTCAAAAACTGGTAATACGGCTAATGTGAACTCAGATGAGTACAGAAAGGGAAGGTCGATGCTGTTTCGGGATATCCTTTTAAATTAACGTGCATCCAAAATTGAATTCTGACACAAATTTTCCTTGCTTAATTTAATTGTCCAGGCACTATATGAATTTTAAAGAAGTATGTTCGGTGAGCGAAGTTATAAAAACATTTTTGAAAACTTATTTTTAGTTAATACTCAAGTATAATACTCAAGCATGAACTGTGGCATCAATTTTTACGATGTAATTTAAATTTTCCAGGCACTTCATGATTATTTTAAAAAAATATATTTCATAAGCGAAGTTATAACAAAATTAATTTTGAATAATTATTTTTTTGTAAAACTCAAACATAAAACAATGGAATGTTTCAAAAATTTGTTTCAAATTTTGCTGAGGTTCGCGGTATTGAAGCTGAAAGGTATGTTCATAGAAAATGTAGCCCCTCATTTTAAACCAATTTAATATTGTAATCAGCTTAAAGTTTTTAAAATTCAAATGATATATCAAATAAAATATAAATTATTCAACAAAAAAAAACAAAAAAGATATTTTTTAAACTAATAGAAACCTAAATTCTGATTTTAAAGTATATTGGAATTGACCAATTGACCAATATTGACCGCAATAGGGTGCAAGTTCGAAGAGTTAAAAATATGTGTACGGTTAAGGCTAAAGTGACACCTGAACATAATGTTAACAAAAGACGACGACTTTTATTTTATCCATTATTGTCATGTAAAGCACACTAAGCACAAACAGAAACTCGCATAGATTAAATACAAACACAAAATAAACGTAAGTAATATCAGTCTCTATAACATGTCGCCGCATAGATCGAAAAGCAGCGGTATGACGTCACGATCATTCCCGCGCGTTTAGTGGCGTTTAAAAGCAATAGCCGGGTGTCACAACTTGAATTATTTACTGCAACTTAAATATTTTGGTTAGTTTTGATATTTGGTATGCGTTATTTCTATAAATACACAAATGTATTAAAGGAATTTAAAAAAATGTTCACTATTCACTAATTTGACCTCGTAGCTGCAGTAACAAAGATATAGTGTTGCTGTTTAACGGCCTTCTAAAACTACTCAGTTGTTTTTTTTTAGAGGAGAGGGAGCTGCCTGGCGTCCGTTTGTCCTGAAAAAATTACTTCGAAGTTGAGCAGAAACCGAATCGGCGACATTCAGCGCCCCCCGCGGAGTCGAGAACCCTTTCGTATAAATTATTACGTCAGAGGAAACACATCGAGCGTGTTCAAACGCTTACCGATGTAGTAACTTTTCGGCAAACTACACGAAATCACACACTGCGGTTTTCCGTTCGAGCAACTCCGAAAGGCGGAGCCTTAACGGTCTTCGAAATGCCGGATCGCAATTTAATTACGATCCTATATGTTATAATTACGGGGAATTTATAAAGATTTAGCCGTCCGTGTTTTCGGATATTAAGGCGTCTTCATCCCCCGATGTATTATCACGGCGTCGTCGTTCTGATGTTTATTACTTTATTAATGGCGGACGTTTTTCGCGGCGTAGCTTCCCGTTATTTACGGCCTCTTAATTGTTTGCAAATAAAAAAAGAGCCTCAGACTTTCGCCGCGCGCGGTTCGAAATTAATAAGACGGCCCCGCCGCCGCCGCCGCGACGAGGAGCGTCGGTCGCGTCTAATTTAAATAAATTGAAACGTGTTCCGGGGAGAGGTTTAGTTTTCTACGAGACGTCTGCGATTTTTCATTTGCGCAAGTATGAAGCAAACCCGTCCTGGAGATCCGTGTCGGAAAGATCTTTTACCCGTTCCGTTGCAGTTGAATATTAAAAACTCATATTATTTTAATTCATTTTCCGTTCTGCAACGAAGGATATTATTTCCTTAACTTTAACTGAAAAAAATATACCCACTTAAGCTCGCAACCATTAGTTTTATCTATCATTTATGGTCTGTTCATAGATATAAGAATGTGACCAATTGCTTTTGAATGGGATTATCAAAGAGTGGTCATTAACATACAATGCAACACGATTATTACCTAAAGTTTCGGAATTTAAATTCAGGTAAAATTGTGGTCCGTAATAGAAAATAATTTTATACCTACCTGTGTTTAATATTCTTTAGTTTGGTTTACTACTTAGTTTAAGTTTATTAGTAATCATTCTTATTTCGTGTGTTATACAGCGTGTGTTGAATTGTGTGCGAATTATGCAAAATATGTGCGAGACTAGTATGTAGAAATGTAGAAAACACTATTCTATCGAGACTAAGGAAGTTACAAATAATGTTTATTTGATTCTCAATGAACGTGATGCCAGCAAGCAAGCATGTTTAGAAGAAACGGCCACATTGACGAAAATTCGAACATCAACTGTTTGGAAAATGGTGAATAATCCCATTTCAGCGAGGAAAAAAAGAAGCGATGCTGACATTTTCTCGAGTGTAGATGAAAGTGATCATGATATAATACGGCGTAAAATTTACCAGTTATACGAGGAACAAAGCGTGCCTACATTAGATATCTTAATTAGGAGGCTTGAACAAGATGAAACCGGTGCTAAATGTGGCAGAACTACCTTATGGAAGTGTATTCAACACATAGGTTTTAGATTTAAAAAAATATCCAGAAAAAAATAGGATTTACAGAGAACAGCAAAGGCCAATTATTTACTTGGATGAAACCTGGTTCGACACTTATGATACCCCGGAAAAGGGTTGGGTTGAAGTGTAAAACAAACGCGCCATCAAAAAGAGGTGAAAGAATAACTATTTTGTATGCTGGCTCTAAAGATGGTTGGATTTCAAATGGACTTTCTCTGTCTGCGAAAAATATTAAAGATTCTTCTCTGGATTACCATAAAGACACCACCGCTGATTTATTTGAAAGTTGGTTTAAAAACAAACTAGTTCTAAACATTCCTCCTAATAGCGTAACTGTAATGGACAATGCAAGTTATCACAGTAGACAGTTGACTAAAACCCCTTCCTCATGTGACACAAAAGCAACAATCCAAAACCACATGTATAATAACGATATTTATTTTCACGAAGATTATACCAAAAAGCAATTAATTGAGGTTCTACAAAGCTTGAACTTACAAAAGGAATACGTCTGTGATAATTATGCGAAAACTCTAGGTCATACAGTTTTAAGGCTTCCACCTTACCACTGTATATTTAATCCTATTGAACATGTTTGGCACCAACTGAAATCTGCCATTCGTCGTAACAATGTTTTTCAAGGTGTTAACTCCAACATCCCTCCACAAAGTTGGGCAAATTCTACTAAACATATAGAAAAGGCAGAACAATAATATATCCATATTGCAAATAATATAGAACAATTAATAATTTAGAACAGGCGATGATAGCGATAGTGATACTGATATATTATGTGAATAATTTTAAGTAATTGAAGTAGGTAATAAAAATAATTTGTAATTTTATTTTAGATTTAAATATAAATACATACATAAATAAATAAATATTGTTTAGTATCTTTCCTAACAAAACCCCAAATAATTAAATTCTAAGCAAAGTACGGACCTGTTCGGCCATATTTCATTCTTACAGCTTGCTCGGGTCTTTCCTTAATTCGTATCAGTTAGTCACTTTCGTATATCTATGAACAGACTTTACCGAGTAAAATGCGAGAGAGTTTCAGTTAAGCTTTGAAGAAGCCAACATGATGATTGGCGAAACGTCAGCAAGTTTGATTTAGCAAAAACCGACGCAGGAGTAATCCAGAAGCTTTGTGAAAATTATGTGGAAGTTTCTTTGAAAAATTGACCGCTCAATTGACCACTCTAAAAATGTTTTAAATATCATCTAGCAATTGTTAATTATATTGTATTTTATAATAAATTATTATGCGTTTGTGATTTCCAGTTTACCTATAACCACTTTCAAAGAATATACGAATATGATACTTAGCGATTCGGGGAATCCCAATAATTATTTCCACTCCATTTAGTTCCCAGAACAACGCGATGGCTATGCAACGCGCAATATAAATAAATATAAATTTTATGGCATTATAAAAATTATTGCTGTCAATTGACACTAAAAAATTGACAATTCAATTTTTAAGTCTCCTTTACGTGCACAGAATGATCAGAACATTTCCGTTGTGCAAAAGAACAGCTCTAGGTTGAGTCAATAAAAAGTCTCCAGTCCACAGAATTGTAGTCTGCACCAAGTTTCAGGAATATCGGTGCCATAAAAAAGTGAACCAGTTTATTCAAAATAACCTATCAATTCTGTTTCGCCCTTCCTGCATCACGAGATTTTAACACCCTGTGTCCAGATGCTAAAATTTCTGAAAGATTTTTATGTAATCCCCAGTGCTATGACTGGGGTTGCTGGAAAACACTCCATATATCACCATAAAGAGTATCTTCTTCTATTTCTGGTCCAGAAAAATTGGTGGTATCTTCTTTGGAATTGGCTGGGTTTTTAGGTATTGGGATATTGACTTGAGGTTTGGATAACCAACGAACATTTCATATGGAGAAAGATCAGTGTATTCTAATGTTTTAAACCTTCTTCCCATACCTCACAAACAATATATGGCGCCCAAAGGTTTGTCTTCATCACCAATTTTTAGTTTACAATGAGCGCAGTATTGTTTTTTAAGCAGAGCTTTAATTTAACGTCTACATTTTTTCACCACAAAAGAACCCCATACATAGCAAAACGTATCTGGAATATTTTTAAAATTAATTAAAACTATATTGTATGTTTGTGGCATAAAACACTTTTCTACCCCGGTACTGAGACTATCTGTCCTAAATTTATAATCGAATCTTATTTTAAATAGCTCTCTAAGTTCATGGACATTTATGTTGTTAGCATACTATTTCATACAGTAACTCAAAAAAGACACTTGGTTGGAAGTTTAAAGTGAATAAACTTATCTTTAGAGATATGTCATAAGGAAAAAAATCTGTCCGTGTCGGAAAGGTCTTAAAAATTGCCTTTTTCTTTGTGGGGTTGAAAGTTCAAGCTATTATCGTATTTTTTTCAAAAGCGATTTTTCATCTCATTTAATTCCTTTTGCTTTCTCTAACGTGTCCATGAAAATGTGGGAGCTGTTTATCATTTGGATAGAACAGGAAAAAAGAACATGACCAGTTAATATAAGCTTTTTTCCAATGAAAATTATATATGTATTATGCGCATGACAAATAACGCATTTCTTTCCTGGTGCTGAGACCAGGAATGACAAAATGAACTATACATTTCAGACGTAGAGCATTTATCCCAAAACTGCAAAAAATAGATATCGGAGCATGGTTGAACTGCAGAAATCTAATACTATAATGAAAAATACCTTTATGTAGTTAAAGTGTGTAACTTAACCGCAATAATATAGCAAGCAATCAAATTTGTCAAAATATCTCAGGGGTACAGCAGCACGTCATTGAAAAAAATAAGCTCGCAACAATTAAGTAATTCGTGCATTCAATTTACTCTAGTTTAATTTGAAAAGAGTGTTTTGCTTAAATTTTGTTTCGAGAATTTGTTAAAAATAAAACATTAATTTTGTTAATTTTTTTTCCTCATATCAAACACGGTTACGTTATTTTCAATTAAATGCTCAAGTTACACAAAATTAATGTTTTAGGTCTTTATCAATTGGTGAACTCAACAAGCTGATTATGTGTCAAGGTTAGTGTTATAAGGGGTCTCTAGATGTTAATTACTTTAAAGGTTGTTCGAGAAAACCAATTTCCTGCAGCGATTTTAAAACTCATATCTCCGTAGCTTTGGCCTGAAAGAAAAAAAATAGGAACTGCCTTGCAGATTTGATGATATTGTGCTAGAATTGAAGAAAGGATACTGATCCTGTGCAATTAATTAAGATTTTGAAAAATATTTGGCATGTCACAACAATATGTAAATTTTCAGATACACTCATATAAATTTTCTTTCTATATTTATAATCCGTTCTTTAGTCAGAGAGTCTAACGATTTAACATGTTTTTGGAAATGTATGTCCATCCAAAATATAGACTTTTACGTCATTACTGTAAACCTTTTCCTTGTAATGTAAATAAGCTTAGGTTTCTCCAGTTTAACCACGCCACCGTTATCTTTTTGGCAGTTATTGGATGAAAGAGGATAACATATTAAGTTTTAGCACGGCAGGTGCTCTACAACTATCCAACAAATAGTTCAGTAAAAGCACGGTCAAAACAGAGTGAGCACGAAGAAAGAACCGGCAAATAATAGAATTATATGGGTATTTTAAAATGTTTTCAAAAAGAAAAAGATACAGCAAATAGAAACGCAGACAAGATTGGTTAATTAGATATTTTTATTTGGCGCTATAATATATAAATATATAATATATAAATATTTACCTAATTTACATAATATATAAATATTTACAAAACTGGATTGATCCTGCGTCGGTTGTTGTTGAGTCGAACTTGCTAATGTTTCGCCATTCATCCTGTTGGCTTCTTCAGAGCTTGACTGAAACTGCACGTTTCAGTTTCAGAAGAAATAAACCAACAACCGGCGCAAGAAGGTTTGTAAATAGTATTGCATATATGTGAAAATGATAAGTATATTTATTGTCCGTTTTGCTGCTTTGGTTAGTTTTATTATACTGGGTGCTTAAAAAACATTTGGATAATTTATAGGATAAATAGAATATTAAAAAATAACGTCGAACCATAAAGTTTGGTTTATAAAGATGTGTCCGATAATTCATCCTTCAGAAGAACAACTCGCTTATTTTAAATATAATTTCTGAAATCGAGTTACAGAAGTTACTGATGTCGATATTTAAATTCAAGTCAACGAGATTTCCCATGTTATAGCAAATTGTTTAAAAAATGTAATTTTTTCCCAATACATTGGCAAAAAAGTGGTTCTCTCATTGAGGGACTCTACTGTATAAAATATTACAAATTTGTCAGCAATAATTTTCATGCTGCAAGCGTATTTGCGATCTAAATTGGAGTCAGGTATTTTAAACCGTTTCAGAAATAACCAAAATAGGGCCCCTTCTACTTAGTAATCTTGTCATCTTTATTAACTAAATTATTCTTATTTTTTTAATATTTGCCCTCTCTGAACCTTATAAAAAAATTTCTTTATGGAATTGCTTGATAGTCACGCAGGCAATTTCAAAAATGCATTGGCCAATATTGTAAAAATCTGAGCGGACAAGAGCTTAGCCTGGGGACGTCCGAAACAAAGCAGAATTAATCCACCCTCTGCCTAGAACAAACTGACCGCAGAAAAAGTCTCCCGAAAAAAAAATCTCGCCGAATTATCTCCGACAAAGTAATGAAATAATGTTCCATGAGAGGGCAATCAGCCTCCGATCCCGATTGAGTTAGCAGTTTTCGAGCCGGGCGTGAGATTGGATCTTTGCGTAAATGAATTAAGGGAGCGGTTCGTTTCTTCTTCTTCTTCCCCCGTCACGACCTGTCTGTCATTTTTGCGGCTTTATAGCCGGCTGAGCGCTCCCTCGCGATAAGTGATTGAAATCGACGCTCTCGGTACCTACGCGGCTTTATTTTTTAATACAAAATGTGATTGAAAACTACGTGGGCGAGATGTATGGCATCCTTTATCGTGGGAACTATCCCCGAGGGTGAAGACTGGTACATCGAGGGTAGTCCGGTTTTTGATAGTTTTTTCTGAAAGTTATCGACTTATTTTAGTAGTCGTCGATTCGGAGGAAATGCTCACCAGTTTTCTCAACGAGCGACGCCATTTTATCCTCACGTCCGGCTGCGAGTACAAATAGAACAACGCCATTACGACAGTCACTGTTATTATGGCAGCGTAGGAAATTTTCTTCACCAAGCCGTCTCCGTAGTACGTGTCGATGTTCCTTAAAAGGTTCGGGTCCATATATTTTACAAAAATTTTGACTAGGTACCGTTACGCAACGTCATATTGACAGGGTTAAGGAAGGCAGTTGAAAGGCAGGTGGTTCCTAGATCGGTGTCATAGTATAAAAAAAACTTCACTTTTCAATCTATATAGGGTGATTAAGGGGGTGATTTTTGGGTCAATTTTATAAAAAAAATGTCCTATGAATATATGCCCTAACTTTTGAGATTCAATGTGTTAAATTTTTCACAAATAAAATATATGTAATACCATTTTAGATATTTTAATGAAACGTGAAACATGTATCGTGTATCAAGAGGCATTATTTGATGTACCGCTTTTTTCTAAATACACCAGTGGCGGACTTGCGGAATTGCTGTCAATTTTGTAGCCCACTGATATCTCTTAAAATAAAAATTATTCTTACAATCTCCAATCATAAACAAGATATCTAGTTTTTAGCTACCAACTAGTGTCTTTCAGAAAAAAAAAGTTAGAAGACTCCTCTTGACATCCTAATAACAAGATAAATAATAAACGATTCGGTTAATAAATTAAAACAACCTTTTTGAAAAAAGTAGAATATAGAAACTAGATAAGTTATTAAAAGTGTTTTCCACCTTCAAGGATACAGCTTCAGCTCTTTCCCTTATACTGCCCCGCACTCTTTGAAGTATACCTCCAGTGCTTCTTACTAAATGGCAGGAAGCTCTTATACGATCCTTCAGCTCTTCTACAGTGTTAACTGGAGTTCGATACACCAGATTTTTAAGATGCCCCCATAAGAAAAAGTCAAAACTATTTAAATCTGGAGACCTAGGGGTCCATGAGTCAGGTCCGCCGCATCAGTTATTAAATGCGTGATTTACTGCAACACTAAAGTGAGCAGGCACGCCGTCATGTGTAAACTATATTCTATTCCTAATTAAATATGGTATTT